AACGTATATGTGTGTAAGGTTGGTGTGCGTGTATGAGTTGGGTTAGGGGTAGGGTTAAGTTGGGTTGTCGTGAAAACATAATATTGAAAACAAATTCAAATAGGAAAAATGATAAAATAAAATTGTTCAATCTATCTGTCTCGTGTTGTTATGATGATGGTGATGTCGCATCGAAGGCAGATGATGTTGCCCAACGATTTCGGCATAGTGTGTGAACAAATAAAAATAAGGTACAGCCTTAATACGATTGGGTTTATCATCATGCTTAATTGATAAATAGAATATTCGTGAGGTTTTTTTTATTATAGAAACAATTTTTAAATTGTAATAATAAATATAAATCATAAATTAAATAATTATAAAAGAATAATACAATTTTGAATAATTTTGTTTGTCCTGCTTGCATCAATCCACAACAACAAATTCAAAATAGCACTGTTTTTGAAGCCATTAAAATAGAGAAAGTCACATCGTTTCTATATCTAGGAGATGTACTGGAACAGCTGAAGCTGCCGTTCGAGCACGCATACGTGCAGCCTGGAATAAATGGCATCTCCTTGCCTCTATATTGATGCGGCGTGACATCCCACTACCACTACGATCAAGACTTTATAAATCTGTGATACGTCCGGTGTTGTTATATGGTGCAGAAACATGGCCAATGACAACCAAACTGGAACAAAAACTTCAATGAACCGACATGAAAATGCTCCGATGCAACAAATTAGTGTGAAGAACCACATCAAATCTACCGAAATCCTGCGTCGTGCTGGTTTAGATGATATAAAGGATGAATGCCGGCAACATCGTCTGCGGTGGTTTGGTCATGTCAAACGAAGTGGAAACAGTGCCATAACTTCTCTTGCCAGATCTTAAGTTACCTGCCACACATCCCAAAGGCCGTCCAAAGAAGTCCTGGTCACAAACAATCGAGCAACACATGAAAGCTCTAAATTGAAATGAAATGGATACAAATGATCGTCTAATTTGGCGCAAAAAGTTGATGGCAAAGAAAACAACATCCTACCTCGGGAAACTGGGTCTCTGGACGCAAAACGAAGATTGATTGATTGATAAAAGAATAATACAACTCCTAAAGTATTTTTTATTATAGAAAAATTTTAAATCTAATCAATAAATAATTAAGCGCTAGTTAATTTTAAATGGGCAGAGTTATTTTATTTTAACATACATTAGGTTTGTTTGTAAACATGGACGATACCATAGGAGTACGAATCTCCGATTTTACCTAATAAGTCTTATGCTTATCTCATGCTTATGCTCTGAATTGTGTGCACTGAACAAAATATGAATGATTAAAATTTTTATATAATATAATGTAGATATATAATATAAAATTATAAACTCATATGATATAATAAAATATAATGATTCATGTGTATTTAGAATACACATTTTATGGATTGGATCGAATAAGTCACGTTGCCATATAGTTTTTTTTTATTTTTCAGGCTTTTTTCAAAAACATGTTTTTTGTATGCAAATAGTGATTATCATTTATGATTTTACAAAGTATAATCTAATCCTAATGATTCCATAGGATTCTAATTAAATAATTAGAATTTATCATCCACCAAGCGTTGTTATTCTGCATGATTTTTTTATAGTAGGAAACATTACTCTAACCTATTTAATAAAATAAAATAAGAAAATAAACAATATTAATTTTACAGTGCAAATTTGTAATGCTTCAATAAAAGTTTTGTAGAATATCAAATAATATGTGTTTATTAGAATTAGTTTGTTTAAAATGAAATATTAAAAACATTATATTATGGGCAATTTTTTTGTAAAAGTCAAAAAGTGTAAAAATAGAACATAAATTTGATAGTATTAATTTTATATAATACATATAGCAGATTAACATTGCATCAAATAATTTTTGGTAAAAATTAGACTTGTGTGCGATCATCACTCATTAAATTGTTAAAATAATAGTCAGTGACATGTATTTGTAAAAGTAAAAAATCATAGAAATATGCAAAACACAGCAATATTATTTTTACAAATTCAAAACAGAAATTTTGTGTACTTTGTTTGTACTATAGAATACAGGACACATGCCAAACCTATTAGGAAACCATCAGATGAATGAAGATATCTTGAAACAATTATTGGTGAATCAATTACCTGCATCCATAAAAACACACCTGGCATATACAATAGAAGTAAAAGAAATTTTACAGTGCTGCACTTGGACATATGCGACATTACTGAATGTGTCATGCCATAGATTACAGCACACTAGATTACAAAAAAAAACAAAAAATCAGTCATAGAGTTTTCACAAACAGTTAAAGTTTAAGAAGTACGAAAATTGATTGTAAGGTAAACAAAAATCAAGGTCAAATCAACAAACAGACATTTGCTGGTACTACTGATTTGAGACTTTGTGGCGATTATCATATCCACAACAATGTCATGACACCTGACCATTACCCTGTCTCACACATTCATGATATGACTCACAATTTTTACAAGATTGAATTTAGTTTAAGCCTACCATTGGATCCTAGTGTCAGAAGCCAATATTTGGTTTACATTGAAGGCATAATTCCTCTCAAATATAAAGTACAAGCAAATAAAATATAAAGACGTAAGTTTTATCATGTTAGGTGGGAAAAAATGTGATATACCTCAACAAAGAAGTCTTCTTTAGTTAGAACAATATTGAGCTTAACATGTTGCTTTCTGTTGGTTCTATAAATGATGTTCATTTCTTGTAAATTGGTATAAAAATTTAAACTTGAATTTGATTTTCAATTATAGTTGTAATTGTATTGTCTTTATAGTGCTAAGCTAGGTTTATTTACTTGTTTGAACAATAAAGTACTAAGTCATCCTATAAACCAAAGTTGAATGAATTTAATTAACTTTTGAAATTTATTCCCTGATTAATATAACAATTTTTAAGCACCAGTGATTTGTAAAAATTTATGCTCACCTGCGTCTGCTTCAACTATTAAAATTTCTGTATAAGCAGCATTTAGTATTTATAATTTTTGGGCATGCACGTACATACACATCCATTAAAATTTGTTAGTATATATGTGCGAAAATGTTCATAAATACCTATTAAAATTTATGCATCTTCATACGTGATAAGTAAAATAGACCTCTGTGGGGTTTCATCAAAGATAGCCAAACGGCAACCCCCGATCTCGGGAAAAATGTCGTCTAAACGTGTGTTGTTGTTGTTGTTGCATCTTCATACGTGATTGGCTTGAACTACCTCTATGATATGACCTAGGTGTTAAGGTTGTTTTTACATTTTTTCCAGTGTTTTAGCAAGGTTATAAATTGCAGATAATGAGCGAAATGAAATCATCCACATCAAGTTGTTGCACTAGACTAAAAACTGGAGTCATTCCTAAACCTTCATGGAAAAGGAAGCTTTCTATACTTGATTCATATGAAGAATCCAAGGTAAATGTTTTTCAAGGTTTCCATGAGCTTATTAAATTTTGTAATAAATACATTTTTTATTTGTTATGTATCTAAATGCATTGTTTACAGTTTTCATTAATCCTAAAATAGAGTCATTTAAATGTACGGGTTTTCATATTTTCAGTCAGCAAGAAAAAAAATTTCCCAAATGATAAAAAACATTGATAAAGACAATTGTTTGAGTTTAGAAGTTCCAGGTACATAAACTTATTATATTTATATTTTTGATTAAATTACAGTTACTTGACAATATAGCAAATGATCAAATACTAAAAATGGAATTTTTTCCAATTATATTTGGCTGTCAGATGTTATTTATTTTCAAAATTTTGGCTAGTGTATATATATATATATATATATATATATATATATATATATATTCAAATAAACTTATAAAATAAGTTTATTTGAATTTTAATAAACTAAACGTTCTCCAAAAAACTTTAGTGAGAAAAATCGAAAAAACGAACTACAAACATGTTAACGTCAAACATTCGGTAGAATTTATAGAATATTGTAGTATATATATATATATATATATATATATATATATATATATATATAATTTATTTATTATGCACTGACCAGAGGACGTTAACATGCCTCTTACCCAGTCAGGACAAATGAACAATTTCAAATACACATAATAATGGCAGAACAGAAATAATAATGCAACAATAAAAATAAATACAACTTCGACTTCGTAAAACAAAAATATGAGAACATTTAAAGTAAATGAACGTTCAAACCTCAGTTATTTCATCACCAACACAGTCTCAAAAAATACCAAAAGATGAATGAGTGTAAGGTTTGGCATAAATATCATCTTAAAAAATAAACATCATCATCCAATCAAAACCATAACTAATTCCAACATAAAAATAATTTTACAGGCAATCGTAGGCTGCCATTAAATAATTTTAAAACAAAAATAATAATGACTGACATTGATAATAATTAATGAAATTAATCATTTATAAAAGATATATAAGGTACTTATGACTATTAAAACATGATAAGAAAAATAAAAAAATTAAACAATAAAAAATAAAATATAAGCCAACTAAACAAAAAGATTAGACCATAGAGGGCGTTAATCTCCCCCCCCCCCCTTTGGTTTTTGAAACAAACATCCTCGCTTGGGTTAATTTTAGTATGTGTACTAACTTCAATATGCTTAGAATGTGATGAATGCAGACAACATACAATATGTATATATTTTGAATTATAAAAGTTTAATTGATAATAACCGAAATGAAATTTTTTTTTCGTTTTGCGTTTTGCGTCCAGAGACCCAGTTTCCCGAGGTAGATCTTTTACAGCCATAATTATCATTAACGCTGATAAAAAAAATCATCAGCTCTTGTAGATTGAAGCCGGTTTTTTACATTTTTAAGCTTACTGAAAGCTCATTCTGCAGATGTACTGGACACTGGAAAAGTAGAAAATATTTTGTATAACATCATTAGATTAGGATATCAAGATAACTGAGAAAGGATTTTTACAAGTTTTATTTAAATATAATTGTTCTACTATTTGATAGAATGTAATTGTGCATCCATTTTTAACATAATTTCGGTTTCATTGTCAACTTCTTCATATGACTCATCTGAATCATTTTCTATGACATCTTGGCTGCGTTCTCTGACAACACCCTTTTTGGCCGTCTTTTGACCATTCCAGAATAGTTTATATTTTTCTTTGTCTGAATTGATATAACATACTTTAGTAGTGCTTTATTATTATTATAAGCAGAAAGGCTTGGGCAAAGCCCCTTGCCCAAAACTGAAATAACATAACAAAAATAAATCCGAACGAATTTCAATAAAAATTAAAGAGTCAATGTTTAAGACAATTATCAATGTTTGAAAAAAATGCAAATTCCGAAAATTGATTATTACAGGTACGTACATTTGAAAATAATTTATAATAAACATCAGGCACGAGACAAACTAAAATATAGAATATTTTGCGTTACCATAAAATAAGTCTAGTTTAGTTTTAAAAATAGCCAATGACGGAGCATTAACAATATCCTCTGACAATGCATTCCATGGGCTAAAAACTCGATTCGTGAAAAAATATTTCCTGCAATCTTTTCTGGCCAGTCGAGTTCACAATCTGAGCTGATGACCCATTGTGTTGACATCAGCCCTGCCGCATAACTAAGGGCAAATCGCAAGGTCCACCATGCCGTGAAGCATTCTATAGACCAGGATTAAAGGATTGAATTTCTTCTGATTCTGCGGTAATTAAAGGGAAGGGAGGTTTAATTTCACCAACCTCAAACTGTATTCCAGATTTTTACAGGACTTTGGAATTTTGGTAGCTCTTCTCTGAACTTTTTCCAATTCATTTATCAGACCTTTTCTATATGGACACCAAACTTGAACAGCAAATTCCAGTCGTGAGTGAACAAACGACTTGTAGACACAGATGAAAGCTTCGTCAGACAGGCAACTAAAATTTCTTGATAGTATTCCTAACATGGAGTTAGATTTTTTTATTTGACTCAAAACATGCTCTTTGAAATGGAGGCGATCATCCATTACCACACCCAGGTCAGATATACTCTTCACCCTTGGCAAGGCCTGAGCTACATCATCTGAATCAGTGATAAAATATTCCCTTGACAAACATCTGCCTATTGTCAACACTGTATTTACTGACATTAACCTTCAAACTCCTTCTGTGGAACCACATCATTACATTATCCAAACAACCTTGCAACACCGCCTCATCTTGTGGAACTGATATGGAACCAAATATCTTTGCATCATCTGCATATAAAAAGATATTGTTGTTAATTGAGTGAATGTCATTGACCTAAATCACAAATAAAAATGGACTGAGTACTCCTCCTTGGGGAACACCACTAGCAACAGGTTTAGCACTTGAAAGTTGGTCATTTACTCTAACACGAAACGTTCTTTCCCTAAGATAGCTTTTAATCCATTTTATTATCTTGCTCTGAACTTTATATTTTTTTAATTTGAACAACAGCCTAGAATGGGAAATTCTATCAAAAGCTTTCTCCAAATCTGTATAAACAATATCTGTACTCATACCTGTTTCCAATGACGCCGTTACCTCATCAACGAATTTTAAAAGCTATAATGTGATCCCATCCTTGATAATCGTAACATTTCTCACTTGTTTCCAAAACAATTTGGGGTTTGATTTGAAACCATTTGCAATTTCGTTCAAGCGTTGTTTATGTAAATCTTTTGTTATCTTTCTTATCCTGTCTCTTAACGACCTGAACAAATCCCAACAATTGCTGCCATATCTGTAAATTTGTTTTCATGAGATATGTTTCAGCTTTATTAACAAACGTACGCTTTTTACATATTTTTCTTAATGGGACGTACATTGCAGTTAAACCAAGAATTAAATTCCTAAACGAGGTCCAATGCGCTTCAACCGACGATCCAGGATGCAAATCAAGTAATGCGGGCAGAGCATTATTAAAGTCGACATTTAAATTAGAATAATCTCCACTGTCTTAACAGAATTTTTTAATATCCGAATGTTTTACCGCATGGAAGCCACATACCTCCATAGAAAGAACAGAGTGGTCACCCGCTTCCATTGGTGCCAAACAGGATATGTTTTTGATGATATCCACATCAGTGATTACCAAGTCCAAAATGTGGGGCTGCCGTGTACCACGAGCTCTGGTGGGTTGATCAATATGCTGTTTCAAAAAATTATCATTGATGAAATTTAAAAACATATTATTTATTCCTGCAGGTGGGCCTGTTGACCCTTGAAAACCCCAGTTGATATCCGGTAAATTAAAATCACCAAGTATAAGATGAAAACCAGGCAACTTTAAAAATTCATCAAGCAGCTGTAATAATAAAATATTGTTTAAGTCAGAACTTCCAGGACTACGATACAGAGACAGAACTTTTAATTTTATTAGTTTCAAAGACAGCTGAACACAGATATATTCGTGAAATGATGATGATAAAATTAATTCAGCGATGGGAAGATCATTACAGAAATAAACCAGCAAACCACGACTATCCTTGACAGCAAAACCTTTTGATATTACCTGGTATCCATTTAATTGAAACTCAGATAGACTTGGTGGGATCTTGTAATATTTGGGATTAACTTCATTTAAAAAAATTAACTTGGGAGCACTTCTGCAAGAATCTAATAAAAACTTTAATTCCACAAATTTGTTTGTCAAAGTATCCACATTTGCATACAAAATCATAAAATCATTGATTACTGTTGAGTTAATACTTGACTTGTTCCTAACTGAAAATTTTTCTTTCTTTCTACGAGCCACAGCATAAAAATCACCTGGATGGCCCTTTATAAAAAAAACAAATTTGTTGATGTCTTCTGTTGAAGATATACTATTCTTTTTTTCAGATATTAATTTCTTGCATTCTTCTCTATCCTCTCTAATCAGGTCATGGGAAATAATAACTTTTTTGAAAGATGTATTATTTCTTAACTTGAAGCAACTTTCCAATATTTGGTTCTTAATGAATAGCCGCTCAACTTAATTAAGAGTGGCCTGGGTCTTTGGTTTTCTTCAGTTAATTTACCCAATCTAAAGCAGTCTGATATCTCCTTGCTAATATCAGTTTCAGGTAGCAAAGCATTAAAAAGGACAGACATTATCTCTTTATCTTTTGCTTTCGAGAAATGACTGTTTTCCACAAGATTGAAGACAATGATGTTATTTTTTCTTGCATTCCTTTCATTACAAATGTTAATTTTTGAATCAGTGGAAGCAACTGAACTAGCAACTGACTTAATGTCATTTGCCATTAAATCAACTTTTTTTGCAAAAAGATCAGACCATTTTTTAACATGCTCCACCTCAGCAAATTCACTTGAAGATGATTTTTTAATAGTTTCAACCTCAAACGTTTTAAATCCTCAAGCTGAACATTTATTTGGGCTTCTTTCATCTGAATCTTTTTTTTATTATTATTCTTTAAAAATCAGGATCTGACAGACGCAGAAACTGTAACAACATGCAAGGCAGTGAAACAAAATTAAACAAATAAGTGAGAAAATAAATACAAAAAGTGAGGAGAGAAATGATAAAACATGAAAAATAAAATATGACGATGGAATATAAAATGAAGTAACGGCAAATTGATAGACTAGATGATGACTTAGTGGGTTAGTGAGGTGATCGATAGATAAAGGCTAGGCCTGTGTGTGAAAAAGTTTAATGAGTATTAATATATTTGGTGACTTATTAATAGACTAAATGATGACTTAGTGAGTTAGTGAGAATCTCCTCCATCATGTCCCTCAACACATTCAGCTTGCTATTAACCTCAGCAAATTCATTCCGAAATTTTTGAGAATCTTTCATACTATCGCCGAGGTTGACAAAAAAAGAATTATATTCTGTGCGACATTTTTCACAGAGTTTTAACCTCTGACTCTGAAGCTCTATCTGTTACCTTCCTTGTCCGTGTGGTCACGTTAGGGTTAGCGTTAGCCATTCTCTATCTTCCGTTGGCGAAACACAACAAAACTTGAAAATTATTCATTAAATAAATCTTTACACTGTTAATAATTTTAAATTTAAATTATTTTGACTCAAAATTAATAAATTTACCAAAAAAGTTAATCTTTTAAAGAAAACGTTCCGAACGTAAGTTAAGTCATCATCAAAAAGCGAAAGTTAAGTTATCATCAAAAAGCGTGAAATTTTGTTGTTCAAACCTACTGTTCATTTGATTTATTACCTCATCTAAGAAAGTTGCAAAAATATCAATTTCATTTTATCATGTCCTGCTAAACATTCATCATGGTATCATCCATCATCTATCCTTTTCTTTGCACGTCGTCTTTCCAAATCAAATTCAGTGCTGATGCCATGTAATAAATCAAATGATTTGGATTCATCACAAATTTTTATCCAAATTGAGTTCGCATTTTGTCTGATGGAGTTTAACTGATAAATGCAGTCTTTCAATAATTCTGCAGCGATGGCCATATCAATTGATTTACCTTGCAGGGCTTTGGTAAACTCTCTTACACATCTGTCAGGAGATGTGGAGTAAATCGATACTACCAGTGGAATGGAACAGTAGCACAACTGTGCCGAGATATAAAGGAAAAGGAGATCTACTGAAACGTCCTCATATCGGGGTATACGTCTTCTGGAACATTCCCTGAAAGTTATTGAAAAAGTTATTGAGAGAAAACTGTTGTCGCCCGTTTCAATAGGTGGTTACCACTACAGCTTCATGGCAGGGAGAGCCACCATTGATGCTATCTATATCATTTGTCAACTACAGGAAAATACATGGCAAAGCAAAAGCGACTGTTCAAGAACTTTGATCAACGTGTTCCCAAATGAATCCGCGAAAGGATCTTTAGTCATTGTGTAACGATAATGCAGAAGAAACGAAATATGACGAAAATACAAATTTTTTTCTCGAAATATATTTTATATTAAGTTAGGACGATTTTTTTTATTGGATTGAAGTTTTTAGTCGCAAACGATATGTTTTAATGCGAAGTTAGAAAATTAATTTTTTTTAAAATTTGTTTATAACTGTCCGCCATTAAACCCGAGATAATTATATGGTGTGTTGATTGGTGTACATTAATAATAATTTACGGGCACTACGGCTGGGATATACTTCCATGCTGGCTTTCTGGGCATTACTATCAACCTCTATCTAGGGTTGACCACATAAATCATTTAATTCGTAGAAATCTCCCAAACAAAAATTTTAAAATCAGCGAGTTGCAATCGTATTTATAGCAACTAGGAACACATTGTCGATATTTGTGACTGCCTGCTTTTTTGTGACTCATACTTCGTCAACACAAGTTTCGCTGATTTTGATACTCTTATTTAATCTCCTACACAAAAAACTTTTGCAAATTTTACCAAATTATACATTAAAAAGATGAAAAGTTCAAGCGGACAACAAATTATGCCAAAATTCTGCATCTTAATTATTGAAATAGTTAACAGGAAGTCTGCCCCATTTTTTCTTAATTGACAGCCCAATATGTTGTTCTGTTTTTCGGTTGCATTTGCGATTTTTTCATCTGCTATATTATTTGGTCACATTTTATGGAGTCAATTATATTTCACTAATGTATCAATTTATTTTTTTGTACACATTCGTTCAGGTGCAGATGTTAAAGACAATAAAAAAATGTTTGTATAAAAGTTTTCATTTAAAATATGCTATTAACATTTGGTTGCTTGTGAAAATCATAAATAAAATTATTAAAATAAATTGTTTTAAAAAAGGTTGTGGAACAGAAAAAAAATGTTTATTAGTTGTTTAAACTGTGGTAGGTAGTGTTTGGTGTTAATTTTAAAAAGGTGATTTGTGGAGTTTCGAGTTAGTATTAAGACGGTAATGGATAAGAGAAATGGAAAAAGAGATATAAAAGTAGTTGGTATCGAGTTATTTGTCAGGGCTCTGTGAAGTAGCGTCACTGAGATTTTGTACTTTGTTTTAATAAGTAACTTGGCTGCATCCTGATTTTTATCCAGTTTTTTAGCCAGATTATTACCATATGCTTTTTGATGATGAGTGCTGGTACATGGATGTTTGTGCATGTACAGTTCAATGTTAATAAATACGTATTAAGTAGATAATGCTGCACATCGACTTGCTTGCAAGCAGTTTAAGCTGAGCAGTTTAAGCTAGTCAGTTAAAGAATTTACAAAGTTTAGGATTACATGAAACATCATTTGAAATGAAAATTCTTAATTCTTGTTTTTTTCACCCAAAAGAAGCATTATAATCTTTTTTAAAAGAGTAGATTTGAGTGATAAAGGTGAATGAGTCATTAATGAATGTACATGGTTGGATGGATTGATTGATTGTGGTGGGTTTGCATCTTGATTCAAAAATTGACGATTTGTTTTTTCATGTTTTGAGATATAAGAAGAATTCGCCGGCTATTTTGTTAGACTGTGTTAATATATGGCTAGATTTAGAAGGATATTTTTGAGCTATGAATCAAGATTTAATGTGCAAAAGGTTAAATAAGAGCAGATTTGTTTGATTTTGAAAAATATTGGTCATTTGCTTCATAGAGACAAATAGGATATCAGTGGTCTATAGTTCTACATTTCTCTCCAGTATTTTTCAAAGACATCAACGACAAACACACAATGTATGTACATACACGTAAATCAAAGCATCAGACTTGTTACATGTGACAGGCGTGGACCTCTTCAAATTTAGGTCCAGTCACGATGCCATTCAACCATTACACCATCGCCACACCTAACTATATTATTTAGTGTTACTAGTATTTTGCATTTTGCTTATGGTTAAGGAATGTGTAATATAATTTATTTGTTAGAAATGTCAATTGATTTTTGGAGGGATTAAAACGGTTCATGAAATGATTTTCGAATATAGTTGTATATTAGACTTGAGAAAATTTAATTCAATAAGTTGTTTATTCATTTTATTGAATTGAATGGAATGCAAGAACTTTGGTCAACGTGTTCTCGAATGAATCCGCAAAAGGACCTTTAGCCATGGTGTGAGGATAATGCCGAAGAAACGAAATATAACGAAAATAAGTTGTTTATTCACCTTATTGAATTGAATTGAATGGCATTGAGAAAATAAGAAATTTTGGTAATTTATGGTAAGAGCACAGTTAAGTCTGGTAATTGTCAGAGTAGGTTTATATATGTCATGGCTCTTGTGATGTTATGTTAAAAAAAACTATTTTCTAAAAACTTAGATCCTTAATTAAAATTTATGGTTACTAATAATAATATTTTGACTTTTCAAAAAATACAAATTTTGATGAATTTTAAAAATTTTTCACCAATCTTTTTCAAACCAATAAATTTAGATTAAAAGATTGTTATGTGAAATTGACAAAACTAGACGGCGCAGTGCAAAATGTTTACGATTCTGTTGCAAAGCCAAAGGATAAAAAAGTTTGTCAAATTGAATATTTAATGCTACATTGGTGTCATTTGTATAGTTTTTTAGATGATGTTTTAATGTTCAACCACATTTAACACTCCGTTTGGAATAAGCTCCTCTGCGTTAACTTCTCCAAGGTTTTTTTCAATTATGTTAGTACTGTATAGCAGTTGCTGGTTCGGTAAGGTAAATTGGTCGTTTCTCTGGTTTGCTGTCATTTTACTTCCGTGTTGTCCTCGATTGATACTAGGACACGTTTTGCTTCAATTTGTCGGCAAAACCTTTGTATTTGACCCTTTATCTCGCAATTTTAGCATGTTGGTATGTCTTTCTCTGTCTGTTGATTGTTAAACCGTCATATATGGCACTTTTTACCACAATTCTAACAGGTTTTAACAAATTTGTTCATTAATTAAGACTATAATGATTGTTAAACCGTCATATATGGCACTTTTTACCACAATTCTAACAGGTTTTAACAAATTTGTTCATCAATTAAGACTATAATGTACTTTATATATATTGTTGTAACCTTTGAACGCTCGTTACTACCAACACCAATGTTTTATTTTTCTAAGATCTCTATATTTCCAACACCAGTAGTTTCCAACGATCGTTCAGTTATTGTTATTCCGTAGGTTCAGGATTTCCGATAGATGAACACAACTGCATCAATCGCAAACTTGGTTAATCGAATGCCAACAGTAACAGAAACACTTAACTAATCCATGTAACTATATAATTCACATTTACGACTTCGCTTTAAACCTCGCTATTGACTTAGCTACTCCTGCCCCTTATATACCCTCTACAGTAGATGTTTACAATCCTCTATGGCCGGGGTAGGCAAACTTTTTGCTGTGAGGGCCGCATTGAAAACTATTTTACCTTTGAAGGGCCGCATATGTACTTAAATTGCAAATTGTTTTGACCCGGGGAGAATTTTTTTAAGATTTGTGGCTCCTTTTTTTGGTCATAATGTTTGGCTGACGATCTTTTTTGGCGAACAAGGCCTCGCGGGCCGCATTATATAGCATCGCCGGCCGTAGTTTGCCCACCTCTGCTCTATGGTATGAAAAGTTTCTATGGCTTACAAACAGCGAAGATTTTTTTTTTTATTCCAAATTTTATTCAAACAAAAATAATTCAGGAGATCAATAAAGGTGAATTACTTGTTGAAACCACCCTTAACTAACAACATCAGTGTTTGAAATAAACAATAAACTGTCATATATAGATATATACACACATCAATAATACTAACAAGTTACCACCTAATAACAGTAATAATAATACAATAATATCAATATCAATAATACTCTTATATATACTTATATATACACACATACATACACCTACAATAATAAATAATATGCATGCATGAACAAACAATATGTATATAATTGATTCACGTCACTGACGATGACTTCCGTGGAGGCCAGCAGAGATGTAACACCATCCCATCATCATACTAGGGTCCGTATGCTGGTCCCTTTGAAGCATTAGATACTAATGCATTTCTTTTTTAGGCCTCTTTTCAAGGTATGGAGACTAGGACACATCAAGCTACTCATGCCCGAGGTGTTCCAGAGTTTCACTCCTCTTACTGCCCAGTATCTGTAATTTAGGTTGGTACGACCATGTGCCAATATCAGCATACCACATCATCTAATCTTACTAGAGACAGTTTCAAGCGTCATTAATTCCCCGTAACCATCATTATTTAAGACCTTGTAAATAAAACACAATGTTAAATATATGTTCAGTTGAGGAACATATATTTACTCACCGCTTTTATATATGGGCAGTACCTTAGCCAATTTCATTCTTTTTGGAAAGTGACCAATTTTTATGAATTTATTAAACAATGATGCGAGCGGATGTGCAAATGGTATGAATGGTGTTCTTTAACAGCTTTGTTGATAAAAGATCACCATCATAACTATTTTTACTTTTTAATTTATTCGTTATTAAAATGACTTCGTCAGTAGATGTATCCACAGCCAGAATAGATGGATAATTGAGTTGGTTAAACAAAGATTGATTTGGGAACGGATTGGGTGGACTGCCGGGAGTTAGTTTACTACCTTGCTCAATAAAAAATGTATTTAATTCATTGACTATTCTTATTTTGCTCATCATGGAGTCATCATCTTTAAGGAGATGAGACTCGGATGGCTTGGGTCTAAGCATACTATTTATTGCATTCCATTTTTCTCTATGAGTTCGACATTTTTTAAATCTATTTTCATAGAAAAGTTTTTCCTTAGCTCTTTTCGATTTAATAAAATAATTCTTATATTTATTATATATGTTTTTATTACAAAGAGAAGGATTGCACAAATACGCTTTGTACAAGTTATTTTTGTGTAAACAGATATTATATAACTCAACATCCATCCACGGTTTTTTAAATCGATTTCTTTTGACAACTATTGGGCAGGAGCTATTGATGCATTTAATATATAAGTTAAAAAATTGTCATAATCAGAATCTAAATCAGAATCACTAGAAAAATCCGGCCAACATAATTCACTAAGAAGTTTGTTGGATGAATTTAAGTTTACAGCATTGATTGCTCGAGTTCTTATCGGTGGACGAGGATGGTTGGCGACAATGAGACCTTCCCATCCTATTGAAATAAAAATTGGCAGATGATCCGACAAATCTTCACACAAGATACCCTTAGAAAGGTAGTTAATGTCATTGGTAAAAATGTTGTCAATGATGGACGCACAGGTATTATGTACATGCGTCGGTCGGTTAATTAGAGGACTCAAATCAAAACCCCTCATAAGATTCAGGAAAGCTTGACATGCATAATTTTCAATGGCTATATTTATGTTATAATCACCAAGTACCGTACATTGGAACCCTTCTCAATTCTGATACATTCATTAAAAAAGACATCTATGGATTCTAGAAAGTCATTTACTTTGACATTGGGAGGCTTATATATAGTAAAAAAAATAATAATATTTATTTACACAATAAGTTCTAATGCCTGACCATTCAAAGCAGTCAGTATTAAAATTTTGGTTAGTATTTAAGTTAGGATATACAATATTTTTACTAAATAAGATACCAGTCCCACCTCCTCTTTTGATGGTTCTGTTATTTATGACAATATCATATGATGGTAGCTTCGCATGGATATATTCACGAATGGTATTATTCTGCAACCAGGTCAAGGCAATAATACAATTCTTGATTTTTATGCCATTGACAAGTCCAATTAATTCAGTCAGATGAGCACTTAAACTGCGACAATTTATATGCACAACGATCAACCGTTGGGCGTCTTGACCACAGTCACCAATTATATTATTATTCATCTCAGACAGAGTAAGATAATTAGAAATTGAGAAAAATTTGAAGTAGCTAGGCAAATCAGCATATATGTTACTGAACATATCAATAAGTGAATTATAATTCATGTCATCATTAAATTTAATACCATCATTCACATTAATTTCATCATTCAAAACAGTATTGATATCATTCACAGTAAAGTTAATATCATTATTCACATTAGCATCCATGTCATCATTCATATTAGTAATCATGTCATCAATTACATTTAAATCAATGTTATCATTTGTATCAACATTCATGCCATCATTCACCTTAATAACCTCAATCACAACACCATTAGTTTCACCGTACACATTAGTAACATCATTAATGTCATCCTTTACATCAGCTTTCATGACACCACTCATATGAGCAACATCACTAGTAATAGAAGTAGAGTTCATAGTTAATATCATCATTAACCTCAGCTTTCATGTCACCACTCATATCAACAACATTACTAATAACAGCAGTAGTGATCATGACTTTATTTGCACTATAATTAATATCATCGTTGACATTAGTTTTCATGTCACCACTCATTTCAACAACATCATTAATAACAATAGTAACAGTGTTCATGGCTTCATTCACACCATAGCCAGCATTAACATCCACATTAGCTTTCATGTCATCTTTCACATCAGCAACACCATTAATAATAGCATTCGTGACTTCATTTACATTATAGTTATCATCATTCACATTCGCTTTTTTGTCATCATTCAGATTAACATAATTCATACAATTCACAGCAGGCAACAGTCATATATTACCATTTTTATTTGTGTTATCAACAGTTGGTTTATCATGTTTGAAGAACCATTCACGGACCACCACATCTTTAGGCATTATATCTGGGTCTGTCATTTTAGTTTTAGTAGTATCAGTCGCCTCAACACAGACTCTGAAGTCTGTCGCATCCTCATCGTCTCTGTTAGTGAGATCTTTTTCTGGTTTATCTTTGCCACCTAGAATGGAAAAGCAAGTTAAAACATGGATCTCATTTGATGAGAGGAAATCGGTGACATCCTTTCTGTTGCATGTTTGAAGGTTGCTCATATGAAACACCTTTTTTTTAATGCGGTTCTTATTGGCCTGCAGTTTGCAGCCTTTATTCAGTTTTTTACCAATGATTTTTATTGGCCTTTTGTTTTTGGATTTAACTTTTTTTACAGGTTCATCTAAAGCATGAGGCTTTGTCCTAGGTGAAGCAGGTTTTGAATAGTTCAGTGTGGTATTTACTGCGGAGAGAGATTTATCCTTTTCTGAGTGTTTAGAGGATTCAGCGTTGACTTTGCTGCAATGAAGGCTTGTGGCTTGAAGAGTTTTATCCATTCCTGCCTGGTTAGAGGATACAATGTTCAATTTGCTAGGCGGATGGCTTTTTTTTCTTATTGTGACGTTTATGAAAGGTCCATCATCTGTAGGAGAGTCAGGGTATTTTGACCAGGGATGTATTCCTGACACTGATACAGCATTGCTATTATTGTTCTCTTTGCTTTTAGTAGTTAATGCTGTTTTGATAACAGAGGAAATCTGGCTAAGATCTTCAGAAAATCATTAAATACCTGAAGCTAACATATCAACTACAGTATTTGACCATTTGTTTGTACTTAGAGAATCATCATTTGAGTGCAACTGGCAAGTCAACCATCCTAGTTGAGTCAATGCTTGTCCAGCTGTTTGGAGCAATTCACCAATTCTTTCCGTTGAGGACATTTTAGAATTACTCCAACTTCATAAATTTTCCAAGTAAATACTGCAAAAGTCAATGTAATTTCTTTGCCGAATATTTTTATATTTTATTTTACGAAAATCCGGAAAAAAGTCATTGAAGTCATTTTTTATATTTTCTGATTCGCCTGTCTGTGGTGCGTATGCAGAAAAAAATAGTCATTGTTTGCTTTTCTAGGCGAAGCTTGATCCACATGAGACGTGAATTAATCTTTTTAATATCCAGTACTTTTTGGGCTAGCGATTCTTTGACAAAAATTGCAACACCATTTTTGGCTGTCTTTTGACCATTCCAGAATAATTTATATTTTTCTTTGTCTGAGTTGATATGACAGACACCATTTGATTTCTATCTAGCCTCTTGAAAGCAGCAAATGTCAATCCTTCTACGCTCGAGCATTTCTGCGATTTCCATACTGCAGCCAATCAGTGATCCAACATTGAGAGTTTCAAGTCTAAGTACCGTAGAGGGGCCATTCTGAATTTTTTTCTGCAACATTCCTTTGCTATTGGGGGGGGGGGCTCGAGCCCGAAAGCCGGTACAAGTTGCCGCCAGTGAAGATATATTGGCTAGTTTAATAGCTATGGCTTTTATATAGATACAAATTTTGAAAAAAATCGCTTAAAAAATGAGGGGGTGATGTCACAAAAATTTTCATAACTTGAAAAATAAATGTAATATCTCTATACAAATTTTATTTTATCGATAAAATACATTGAGGTACTTACCGTTAACATTTAAAAAATCGGCCGTTAACATTTAAAAAATCGGGGATAGTCAGGCGTGGAGCATGGCTCAAGTTGGCAATATACATTTTTGTTTGCCAAGTTGATTATTTTATGTTTTTATTTCTTTTGATCTTAAACTGATTCCGAGCAAATCTTCATTATCAGTTTTTTTTTACCACTTTTCTATATCTTTTTCAATAAGGCAAAATTATTTTTTGTGCATTGGCAATACTTTAGTTAATTTATTTTGAGTAATAATTGTCTAAATGGTAAACTGTTCGACTTTTTATAATTTTTCCAATTCAGCTTGAAGGTCTTCATTTTCTCCTGAAATCATAAGAGTTAAATTTGTTAAAAAAAACTAAATAAAAGCAAAATATTATCATGAGCACTATAACTTATTTTAAATACATCCTTATTTTGTTGAACATGATTGTGCAAATTATGATAAAGCATTAAATAGTTTGAAATTTGTACAAAATGTAGTCGCAGAGTGCGGTTTGCTTAAGTCTGCCACAATGATTTCTTTAGACGATATTTTAAATTAAATTACACTGCCCAACAGTGTTTTTGTATCTGAACCAAAATTAGTTGTTTCTTATGTATTTCCACCTGCTGAATCCGAAAATGACATTAAAAATTACATATTAGCTCTAGTTCAAAAGATAAAAGCAAAACTCTATCCTCAAGAGTATAAATTTTTATTTTTTGGAAAAATTTTTTTATCTTTTTTTATTTTGCCTCTTGGCTATCTATAATGTTTTATTTATAGAGGCACAAATGAAATAGAAGAAGGAAAAAAAAGCCAGCCTTCCACATCAAATGATTCTGATTTTGTGTCAACAGATGATGCACCACACAGAAAAATAACCTTGTTTGCGTTGATATCTATGGATAAATGTATTGTCTCAATTTGAGCTATGATCCAAGTGAATGGAGATTATTCATAGATTCATCAAAGCTAAGCTTGAAAGCTGTATTACTGCACAATGGAAATCATTTTCCATCAGTTCCTTTTGGCCATGCAGCTCACATGAAAGAAACTTTCCTAAATATGAAAACTCTTCTTAACCCAATCAATTACAACGAACACAAATGGAAAATTTGTGGTGACCTAAAAGTATTCCTAAAAGTATTGCCACTTTTTTAGGAATGCAATTAGGCTATACCAAATACTGCTGCTTCTTGTGTATGTGGGACATAGAGACAAAATTTCATATTACACAAAAAAGGACTGGCCTGCAAGAAATCTCAACAAAGATGAAAAAAATTTTGTCGCTGAAAGATGTACTTCTTCCATCCTTACACATTAAGCTGGGTTAAATGAAAAATTTTGTCAAAGGAACAAAGAAGGACAGGCTTTTAAGTATTTAAGAAACAAATTTCCAAAACTAAGTGATGCAAAGTTAAAGAGGGTATTTTTGTTGGACCATAGATACATGAACTTGTGAAAGATCCTGCATTTGATGAAGTTTTGAAGGGGCAAGAAAAAGAAACTTGGGAATCTCTCAAGGGAGTGATTTGTGGATTTTTAGGCAACAGAAGAGATGATAACTACATCCAATTGGTAACAGTACTTCTGCAAAAACGCCATCAACTAAAATGTAACATGTCCATGAAGATTCACTTCCTCCACTCACATTTAGACTTCTTTCCCCTTTGTGGAGCTGTTAGTGATGAACATGGAGAAAGGTCCCACCAAGATATTTCTGTGATGGAAAAAAGATATCTGAGTCGTTGGAATGAAGCTATGCTTGCAGATTAATGTTGGTTTATATGTAGGAATGCTCCAGAGCTCGCATACAGGCGGAAAGCAAAAATAGAACACTCGCGCGAAAATATTCTATAATGATTTTTGTATTTATTAGCTTTCATTGTTTAAAACTGTTAGAATGTAATCTTTATTGAAAAAACTGAATGCACTTTAAATATTATTAAAATAAGTAAATTATATGTCATACTGCTATGCTGTGAATAAGAAAAACGAAAAAATTTTTGTTGTTGTATATCTCAGAAACTAGAGCTAATAAAAAATTTTCGTTTGCATTTTCGTTTTTCTTACCCCAAAATTAGTATAATTTGACTAAAAAAGTTAAGGATACAAAAAAAATATTTTTTTTGTTGCCCAGTATTATTATTATATTTTTCTATTTAAAAAATTTTAATTTAACGATTTCGCAGCTTAATTATCTAAATCAGGACATAGAAAATCCATCAACAACTAAGACCATTGGACATCTTATTGATTCCCTTTATGAAAAAAATCTTATTGATAAAGAAACTTTTGAAGTTCTCATGCCATTTAAAGGTAGCTACATCCATTTATTTATATACATTGACATGTTTAAATATTTTGAAATACACTATGTGTAGATGTCAAATATTCAGTTATTGAGCATGAGGATGAGTCTTCTGAAGAATATGAAAAAGTGTATGAACTCTCAAATTTGTTGTACTCAAAGTCTGAAGAGGCTTACGGATATCTTAAATCAATAATTCCCCTTCCAAATATTGCAATATCTCCTACTAAAGATAAATGGTTTATTAATATTCATTAAGCTTTTACGAATTCAAATGCATCGATTCATTTTTTTATTCAGTACCACACCATCTTGTTTGAAAAGAATAATAAATGAGATGTTTCCTAGTGCAACTAACATTGGTTCAGTTGATTCATCACTCAGCCTGACAGATCTTTTCATCGAAGCTAACATGATTCTAAAGGGGACTCATTTTCTTGTCGAGAAACAAGCAAGTGTGTGATTTTTTAAAGGCTTTTAGATGCCTAGGTTTTGTTTGAATCAGGGTTTAAAATGTTAATGTTATGTACAATGGTTTATTCTACTTTTAGATTGATATCAAACGTCGTAAGATGAACAATTTGTTTTTGTAGCTAATTATTACTTTGCATGTGTTCAAGCACTGAAATATACAGTCTAAATGTTTACAGGCAAACATTCAACTTGTTTTTCTTTACGTTTCTATATTCAAGGGTTTTTTTTAATTCGGTATCAATATTGTATTGTATTGCCTGGCTTTTATAGCCCCTCCTCTGAAAGAACCTGAGAAGAGCTTTTTAAACGCTTCTTGAAAACCTGCCGGTTTATGTTGTCAATTCTCTTTAGTTTTACTAGTAGATCATCCCACATTTATGCTGACGATACATAACCTTTTTTTTATAGAAACGTGAAGAATTGAATTTTGGAAGCACAAGATCTCCATTATCGAAGGATTTTAGTTTATTTCAGTTCGCAACCAGATACTAGTTAGAATTATTCTCTCAAGTAACGTGGAGCATCGCCGGCCTGTGAATCTTTGACAAGGGGAGCTTATCTGAACAAAACTCTTCCTGGCATACAAAGCTTTTTAAGCAGAAATTGAATCGAACTTTGAGTATCCTGCGACCAGCGTTAAAATTATATAACATGTCATCACGAATGGATAGTGTGATTCCGTACGTTCTCACTGCTACGAATTTAACTACAAACAAGCGTCTTTGTTGATTCAACTGTCAGATGACGTCTAATCGATCTAATTTTGTACAGCTAACAGACAGAATAGAAACAGACAGCAAAGTTTTTTATATGACTTTCCATCGATAGGTCAGAATCCAGCATAACACCGCTTTAGTTACTGGATCTTTGAATTCATTAATGTGACCAAGACCTTGCGATGTTCCCATTCACAAATACTGTGTCAATTTTTTCCCTAATAATGATGAAAAAACATTCTACAATCTTTCTGGATTATCAGCATTAAAAATTATAAGCGATTGATAATAATTTTTATCTTTTAACGTGAATAAACTTATGTCAATTGATAAATTCTTTCTGATTTGTGAGTTGAAAGTTTTACGTTGTGGCATTCTTTATCAAACCAACTGCGTGATTTAAAACGTACTTCTTTGTTTACCATTGAAGTGTGTTGGAACAGTCTATATCAATCAATCAGTCTACAAATTATTAAAGCAACGTACCTCGTGCGAGCTGTATTTTATAACCTTGGCACGTTCAATTAGCGTAATTAATAGTTTCAATATCATAAGCTAAATTATTTATGAACACAAAATTTATTTATAAATTAACCACTTGAAATTAAATTTCAGTTTAAAATTAGTAGCCGAGGAATTTAGCAACGTAATAAACCAAATTTTTACCAACATAAACAATTTTTAAACGTTTAAAAAAATCGACATGTTTAGCGAGTTTAACAGCTTGATAAACGCACACATATATCCTAATATATATCTAGAGATGACCTTGTCCATGATGTTTCACCATTCATCAGTTAAGTATTTCTATTATATATTCCCAATTGTATCAAAATTTAGTATGCTACATTTTTTATAGCATAAAAGATAAATCGTCCTTATAGGAAGCACAGAAATTAAAGATATAATAAAAACAGATGCAATTGTTTCAAGGGGATATGGAGATTGCAGAATTTCAAAAAGAACCAGCTTATCTAGACCGAGTTGAACACATTGTGCGTTATGGCACCTGCAACAACAGCTACTCAAAAGAAATTAACAAAAGAATGGCCATCGCCTAAAAAATGTTTGCGGCATTGAGAGAAATTTCGAAAAGTAGTAATATTTTTTCAATAGATTATACATGTGAAATTTTGAGAACATAGAAATATGAAGACTAATCATTAGCATTTGAAATAGATTTCTACAGAAAGCTTCTAGAAATCAGTGAGAAACAGATGGTGGGAAATTAAATCACAAGAAACTATCAGGGATAACATTAAAAATATTTAAAAAGTTAGAAAATTTGGACACTAAACATTTGCAAAATGATGAATAACAAATCAATATTGGAGATTTTTGAAAATGAATGAATGAGTTGGGTAGGGAACGTCGAATACATTAAAATTGGCCACAGGTAGAAGAGTATTTTGGAAATCTATAAAAAATTTCTCATCAGTTTTTTAAAAGAATAAAAAAGGCTATTGATTGACTGGTTGTTTTTTTTAATTTTCTTAATGAAATTTTTTTAATTTAAATTTACTTCTTTAGTCTGTTATAATGAGTAAATCTAGAAGATCAACGAAAGAATCGATTTGTTATAATATTATATTATTATAATCCCTAGGGCAACAACAACATTTGTTATAATCTAGGCGGTGCGAAGACGAAGGTAATCTCGAATGAACGAAGGTTTTGAGGCCGGCATTGGGGGAGGATGTATAAAAGTGTGGGCTTGAGTGAAGTTGTTATACCAAGTGATCAAAAGTCCGTTTTGGTGTTTGATTAGCGACAGCCTGCCTAATAATCGCGATATTTGAACTCGATATTTTGGACTCGTTGTTTATGTTGAAAACTAATTAGAAGTTGTAGAAATAGAAGAATTAATTTGTGAATAATGAATATGTTTTTTTTTATATAAAATTGTGCTTTAATTCTTCTATTGAAAATTATACAAGCCTGCCTCGAAAGTTACAACCTTGATGTCAAAATAATTTTTTTGGGGGATAAATCACGATGTCAAAAACAAAAAATGCCGAAACTGTGTAAGCTTGGTGTTCATCTTAAAGAAGAGCTTTAGAAGCGGAACTATCATTTACACTGCAACAAGGGGTGTTGGTAGCGCGCTTGATGAAAGACCTTATGAAGGGTGATAAAGATCCTAATGGTTCTAAATTCGACACGATAGATGACCGAGACTTTGAGACAAGGGGAGACGGTCACGCAAACTGGCTAAATGATGTAACTGCTCTTGAAAATGTCAGCGGATATGGAGGAACAATCAGCTGCTGTGAAGGAACAGTCACCAGCTGCGAAGAAACTGTAAAAAAACTGAAAGACGAGATCACGTCTAAAATCAAGCTGAAATTCACTGAATTCAATGAGAAGATTTCGAACTGGGCAACTATTATAAAATAGGATGACTTCTAAACTAAATGAAAAAATTGTCAAACTCTTGTATGAAGTAAGAATTTGAAGCAAAAAATAGAGCAAACTAAGAAATTACTGGGCGCGCCTGTTACCCAAATTTCTGCAAAAACGTTGAAGCGTCGGTATTTGCCTGAGAAATTTTTTAAAATTTCCCAATTTGAACTGTGGTAGCAAGCAGTGGTTAAAACAAAAGAGTAGGCAACCACTTTTGTGCTGGCACTTGGAATCAGCAGTAGAGGTCTTCAAAATTCCTGTCAAATATCTTAAATTTTAAATTGCTGGAGTGCACTGGCTATGAGGCGCGTCCCCAGGTGGTGGACAAGGGAATGCTTTCGAGGCTAGTATATGGGTAGACGATGTAAGTTGTCGCATGTTGGCCGGCGAGATGGCTCAGTGGTTCAAATGCGCACTGAGTCAAACATCTTAATGGCTATCATATACTCAGACTAAATACATGTATACGTCGTGTGAAAAGGATAAACAGCTTTTGTGGCGAAGATGGCTGATGGCTGCTTCAAATCAATGGTTGAGGATATGAACATAATAAAATATATACAGATAATATATATGCAACATTGTAAGTGGTTCTGCGTTATGTCAGAGCTGCAATAATAAAGACTAAAAATGTTCTGGGCTGGGAGACCTTTTAGGATTGCATCGAATAATACGGAATAAGATGCCGCTAACTAACTGTACCAGAAGAAAGAAGACAACGGTGAAAGAGGCGGAGGATCCTATGACAACGGCTCCAACAGCAGATGATCTTCTATTCTAAATCCACTGCCTTGTGGAACAAGGACCTTTGACCCAAAGACTAGGTGCACTGCTTACAACAGTGCTCTCTTTGGCACGAGATAAACTGCAACCACGCTGCCTTGTGTGCTTCCAGCAAAAAGGCTAGGCCCACTGCTTATAACTGGTGGTTTTCGTAAAGAATTGAGCAATTCCAGATAAAAAAAATTTTTTTGACCCAAACATCATCACAAAAAAAGAAAAGATTTTCTACTCCCTGGAAGACCTTAAATGGTCAAAGGGTGACAATATCCAGGAAGTACGCAACAGTGGAGGGATGTTGCGGAAAATCGGGCGTCTCCTCCTGAAATATCAGACTTGGCACATTAAATACTGGATTGCTTACTGGGCGCTCTATGGAAATCGTCGACATGTTGGAAAGACGAAGGGTTGTCATCTGTTCTCTGCAGGAAACAAGATGGAAATCAAATGGTGTTTCTCTAATTGGGAGTTACAATTTGTTCTGGAATGGCCAAAAGACAGCCAAAAATGAAGTGGGAATCTTCATACGGGAATCACTGGCACAAAATGTACTGGAGGTGACTCGAATCAGCTCACGCTTGATGCTGATTAAACTCAGAATGGGAAAACAGGTTCTGACTGTTTTCTCTGCATATGCACCACAGACCGGTGAATCTGAAAACGCCAAAAATGATTTCTGGAACACACTCTCAGATGCCGTCAGGAAAACACCATCATCAAAGATACTATTGATATGTGGCGACCTCAACGGCCATGTTGAAGATAAAGCTAATGGGTCAACGTTGTCTATGGAGGCTTTGGCTACGGTTTTCAAAAAAATGACGGTGTACGGATTCTGGAATTTGCTGAAAGCCATGAACTCTCCCTGTTGAATACCTACTTCAAGAATATGGCAGAACATTTGATCACATATAAAAGCGGAATGTCATGCACACAAATTCAGACAACAACACAGACGACTATTCAGGAATACCAAAGTCATTCCAGGTGAATCATGCATCTCTCAACATCGATTGCTGGTGGCCGATATGATCATGGGACGACCACGATCTCTGACTGATCGAATGCCTACTAGAATAAAAACTTGAAAAATGAAGAACCTCTCGAATATATATATATATATATATATATATATATATATTCTATAAATTCTACCGAATGTTTGGCGTTAATGTGTTTTTAGTTCGTTTTTTCGATTTTTCATCATCAGTGCAAGTTGATTTATATAGGAAAATATTCACTTTGTGAAAGTGAATTTAGATGGAAATTAAGTGTCAGATTTCTTTATTGTCCATCTTCGTGGGTTTACTTTTCTTCATCAATAGCATCATATTCTTTTTTGTCATTGTTTACAATGCTAGTTTTTATTACTTCTTTGTTTTCATTGTTGATTAAGCGCCGGGTTGGGAGTGAGGTTGTCATTTTTTGTTGTATATTTATTTTTGGTTTATTGATGTCAATTAGGACTGCTTCTGCAATTTTTAGATCCGTGTAGTTGGTATTCTGGTATATTACTTTGATGTTGCTGTCGAGGATTTCGCGGCTTATAGTGAGTGTGTTGAGTCCAAATGAGATTTGATAGCACCACTCTGTTTACGGCTGACTCCTTTCCATACTGGATGTTTTACGAAGTCTATTTGGGTTTAGCAGAACTGAAAAGGGGGTAGTGTTATAATCTGTTTTAATGGTCTATTTTAATGAAAAAAGACAGTTGGTGCCTATTATATCAAAAACGACAAAAATGAGATGGTTCTTGAACAAGATGAGATCAAGCTACATTAGAAAGAATACTTCAACCGTCTGTTAAATGAAACAAATCCCATCAATGTCAACTTTGACGCTCCACCCATCAAAGGTCCGATTGCAGACATCACTGTAGAGGAGCTTACAAAAGTTCTGAAAGCTATGAAGGATGGAAAGGCAGCAGAGCCCTCTGGACGCACAAATGACATTATCAAAGCATCTGGTACTGCAGGTATCTAAACGTTACTACAACTTTGCCCTAAAGTGTGGAGAAATTGCTCAATGCCGACAGAATGAAACTATAGCATGACAGGTGGAGTCTACGCCGACAACTCATTCTAGAATATCTTGTTCGATTTGAGATGGAAATGTACATGAATACTAAGACTTTCGTCACCACAACGGTTGGAAACACAGATGCATTTAACATCGGCGTTGGAGTTCACCAAGGCTCGATTCTCAGTCCACTGTTATTTATAACTGTGATGGAAGAAATCACAAAACCGATACGCATTGGTGACATTTGGAATCTAATATATGCTGACGATATCGTTTTAACAGCCACGTCTGAGCAGAATGCAGCACAGATGTTTGAAGATTGGAACACCAGACTCGCCGATCATGGACTCAAAGTCAACATCAGCAAAACCAAAGCAATGAACAGTCACTGGTGAACCCATCCAATCCACAGCTACTGGACGATGGCCCTGTTCAGTTTGTAAAGCTGGTGAAGGTAACAATTTAATCAAGTGTCAGCAGTGTAACCAGTGGTGCCACAAACGTTGTTCAAAAATAATTGGTACTTTATATAAAATGTCCAATTTTGTTTGTCCTGCTTGCATCAATCCACAACAACAAATACGAAATAGCAATGCTTTTGAAGCCATTAAAATAGAGAAAATCACATCGTTTCATTATCTAGGGGATGTTCTCGATTGTACTGGAACAGCTGAAGCTGCCGTTCAAGCACGCATACGTGCAGCCTGGAATAAATGGCATCTCCTTGCTTCTTTATTGATGCGGCGTGACATCCCACTACCACTACGATCAAGACTTTATAAATCTGTGATACGTCCGGTGTTGTTATATGGTGCAGAAACATGGCCAATGATAACCAAACTGGAACCACTTCAACGAACCGACATGAAAATGCTCCGATGGATACAACAAATTAGTCTGAAGGACCGCATCAAATCTACCGAAATCCTGCGTCGTGCTGGTTTAGATGATATAAAGAACGAATGCCGGTCACACTGTCTGCGGTGGTTTGAAGATAATCTGGAACAAATCGAAAGTTATGAGACCAGCTTTGGAAGCTTAAGAGCCTTCACTAGAACAATGTTGTTGTTTTACCGAGCGATAAAAAGTCTATTTTAGTGTCTAAATAACGACACTCGGCTCAGTATTTTGGACACATTGCCTAAGAAATCGATTCCAGTTAATAATTAATTAGAAGTTGTTTAATTTGTGATGAATAAAAAGTAACTAACATTTTGTTTTAATATTCTAGTCTGCCTCGATAGCTACAACAATACACTCGGAAAATTTTTGTATTCAAATGTTTTATTATGTTATTATGTTGAATTTGATATAGCGGAAAATTTGTCCAGTCAAAAGGAATAATATATCACTTCAAAATTAAATAGTTGAAAAATATTATATACGTCAAAATTAAACTATTGAATAATAATATATTACAAAATTAAACTATTAAATATAAAATTATTACAATTGAACTACTAAGTAAACAGCGTGCTTTGTTAAAACATTTCTACGTGTCGATCGAAGCAGGCTTAAGTCATCAGAAGCATAATGTCTGCTTTCGGTGATAGCAAGTACATCCAAATTATCGTCACAAAAATTATTTTGCAAGCTGTTCATGTTAATTTGACCAAAATTTATATTATTTAATAATGGTAACAATATAAGAATTGTAATTTTTTAAACGACGTAGTAATTTTATCCTGTGGAAATTTTGAACGCCAAAATACGCAGTCGAAACAATGTTTTTTCTTACGCGTCTTGGAACAGTTTACAAATTATTAAAGCAGCGTATTTATAAAATAAAAAATTATTACAATTGAACAATTAAGTAAACAGCATAACAAAAAAAGGAAGATCATTAAAAGTATATTAGAAAAAATTGAAGATTGTTGGTAACTGAAAGTTGTCAAATGTGACCATATTTCAATTATATTGCAACTTGAGAAAATCATTTTTACTAAGGATTCTATTATCTATTGCGTTAATGACTTTAGAAAAATATCGTTTATTTTTTGCAGATTTTCCACTTTACAATTTGATGGATAGAATACCTGGTGAAGAATGTTCAACGAAAATCATCAATTTTTGCAAAATTATTCTAATGAATTCTCCTCAAGCATATTCCTGTCTATCTAAATTTTTTTCTTTGCCCGATATGAAGTAAGTTGTTTAATATATTTTGGTCCTGAGCAAATTTGTATAGTGACCCTTTATAAGTATAGTTAAATGTTGATATAAAAAAAATTATTTAGTAGAAAAATTAGATTTTTTTGACTTCATACTGTTCTGAAAGTTTTGTTTTAATGTTTTCCAGTTTTCATCGGTTAAATCGGTGTTTTTCATCCTTTTTCCTATTACTCTTATTAAATTATTTTATGACGTTTGCTACCCCAAGAACATTCGCACAAATTGTTTAGTTATTCATGAACCTATTTGACAAATACGCCGTTAGTCACGCGGTTCCATGGTCTGACCTTTGCATAGACCCGGCATCACAAATTTGCTCTATTGAGTGGCATCGCATAACAAGATGGCAGAGAAAACAAGTATATAGAAAGAACGGAAAAATTATTAAACCGCCGTACGCCATTGACAAAACTATAACCTGGAAGAATATGCAACCCAATGGAGGGTTTGTTGGATGAATATTTCACGCTTCTGTGACTACAAATTTGTAGTGTCCATTATTTAGGTCACTAATAAATATACTAATATCTATACTTTGTCCAAACTTTTATTAATAACATTGTAATTAGCATAGAACTGTGAAGAAATTAACCTAATATTTAATAAACCCAGATTTAATTTAACCTGTTTATTAATGCCGCTAGCACTATTAAATTATTTAAGTTTTCCCAGTTTATACAACCACTTTATTTACTAACAATTAAATAATTATTTATGTCCATTATTTAGGTCACTAATAAATATATTAATATTTATACTTTGTCAAAATTTTTTTAATTTTCCACCTACTCTTGTGTTAAAAGGTTTTTGGCTTCAACGATTTTTTCTAATGATTTCTCTGTTCAAATGACTTTTGATAATAGGATTTAACATTTAAATCATGAGAATAAAAAGCCAATGAAAATTTTTGGAAAACTCAAAGAAGATTATTATTGATGAGGGTAATTTAAGTGCTTTATCAGATAATCTCTCGAAAACGAAACTCTAGATGTATGCATTATTCATTGTAAAGCCATAAAATATTAACAGCCATATAGATAAAAATTTGATAACGTTATTTCAAATATATATCATAAAATTATAATATTTTCAGACAATTATTTGCAACCATTGGTCCAGGTGGGTTCTGCTTTAATTTGGTTTTTATTTATAAATTTTATTCTAAACGTTTATTGTTGTGCACAAACTCATAGAATAGTCCATTATCTTGTCCAATTTAAGTTATTAAAACTGCTGGCACTGTTAACACATGAATCATTTTTCTGAATCATTTTTGGTTCTAAATTATTTTTTTAAATACATTTTTCCAATTGCTTGTTTTAGTTTGTAGTATAGTGGTAATTTCGAAATAAATTGTGATGAAAAATACAGAAATATAATCATAAAAACAGATGATATCGTTTAATGTTTCTTCAATTAACATATCTTGATCAAACATTCATAAGCATTGTATTTCTAATATCACAAAAAATGCATGCACATTGGTTTGAGAACATCTGAAAAATTTTCTATATTTGTAATTTTAGCTAAATTACTTACATTTTGATTTTGAGTCCAATTTTAGGATATAATTTGCATCTATGATTATCTAAGTTAAGCTTAGTTGACAATTCGACGACGAAAATTTGTCTCTGTTTTACTCTTATGCATAAAGGAATGTTTACATAATTCTTACACGTCCTTTCGAGATGATTATATTATAAATAAAATCAGCTCTTCTTTCAGAGCATTACTTGTAAACAAAATAACTACAACGTAAGAAATTTTATTAAAATACAAATCAATCTCAACATATATTCATAGCGAGCTTCGTGGTTACCAATCTGCATCGAATAGAATAGTTGATGTCGATAAGATATTGTTTGATGGGGCTTGGTTCTCAAACTTTCAGTAGTTGATCGAGTCTGTTTCTTTGGCTGCTGATGAACAAAGGCTTAGATCTGCCTTCAAAAAGAGACTTGTTCCAAAATTTAGAACAGAAAACTTGTTGGAAGATATTGCTCAATGATAGGGAGAATGTAATGGAGGAAAGGGAAAGGTTTCGTAAAAAACTAAAATATCATTATTTCACATGACGATAGAGGGCGCTTATAAATGTCAAATACCAGTTTATTGACATTTCGTCAACCTTGATATCTTACGACTCATAAAATCCTTAAGATACCAATTTTTTGAATAAAAATAAACAACGGGAGCAACGGCTCAAAATGAATAATAATCTGCGCTTTGATTATGGAATCTTATTGATTGTTTTTGTTACATTTTGTAACTTTTTACAAAAGTATGAAAACTGTTGATACACATACTTCAAGTTGCGAAATAACGAAAAAAATGAAATAAACTTAATAACACTAAAATTTTAAGACTAGATTATATTGAAATGATTATATTTCCATAGCCCTATCTGTTGTACAACGTAAGTGATGCGTTACGTGCCTAGTTTCTTCTTGACTGTTCTTCCTCTATTGTACACTTGCATGCATTTTCTTTTATGCGCAACTGTCTGTCCACTGCAATCTCTACTTTATATTGTATCTTCATGATGTCAGTCAATCAATCTTTGTTTAGCGTCCAGAGACCCAGTTCTCCCGAGGTAGGACGTTGTTTTCTTTGCCATCAATTTTTTGCGCCAAATTAGACGATCAGTTGTATCCATTTCATTTAAATTTAGAGCTTTCATAGATTTAGAGCTTGATTGTTTGCGACCAGGACTTCTTTGGACGGCCTTTCGGACGTGTGCCAGGTACTTTAAAATCTGCAAGAGAAGTTATGGCACTGTTTCCACTTCGTTTGACATGACCAAACCACCGCAGATGGTGTTGCCGGCATTCGTCCTTTAAATCATCTAAAACAGCACGACGCAGGATTTCGGTAGATTTGATGCGGTCCTTCAGACTAATTCGTTGTATCCATCGGAGCAATTTCATGTCGGTTCGTTGAAGTTGTTCCAGTTTGGTTATCATTTGCCATGTTTCTGCACCATATAACAACACCGGACGTATCACAGATTTATAAAGTCTTGATCGTAGTTGTAGTGGGATGTCACGCCGCATCAATATAGAAGCAAGGAGATGCCATTTATTCCAGGCTACACGTATGCGTGCTCGAACGGCAGCTTCAGCTGTTCCAGTACAATCTAGAACATTCCCTAGATATTGAAACGATGTGATTTTCTCTACCTTAATGGCTTCAAAAGCATTGTTATTTCGTATTTGTTTTTGTGGTTTGATGCAAGCAGGACAAACAAAATTGGACATTTTATATAAAGTACCAATTATTTTTGAACAACGTTTGTGGCACCACTGGTTACACTACTGACACTTGATTTAATTGTTACCTACACCAGCTTTGCAAACTGAACAGGGCCATCGTCCAGTAGCTGTGGATTGGATGGGTTCACCAGTGACTGTTCATTGCTTTGGTTTTGCTGATGTTGACTTTGAATCCATGATCGGCGAGTCTGGTGTTCCAATCTGCAAACATCTGTGTTGCATTCTGCTCAGACGTGGCTGTTAAAACGATATCATCAGCATATATTAGATTCCAAATGTCACCAGTGCGTATCGGTTTTGTGATTTCTTCCATCACAGTTATAAATAACAGTAGACTGAGAATCGAGCCTTGGTGCACTCCAACGCCGATGTCAAATGCATCTGTGTTTCCAACCGTTGTGCTGACAAAAGTCTTAGTATTCGTATATACTGTATAGCTGTTGCTTGTTTGGTAAGGTGAATTAGTTACTATCCCGGTTTGTTGTTTAATTTTATTTCCGTGTTGTCTTCGATTGTCATTTGGACGCGTTTTACTTCAATTTGATTTGTCTGCAAGGCTTTCGTATATGACCTTTTTTTTGCCGCATGTTTGTATGTTTTTCTCTATCTCTTGATGGCGAAACCGTCGTCTATGGCCTTTTTTCCTCAATTCCAGCATGTTATTATGTCTTTCTCTGTCTGTTGATTGCAAAACCATCATATATGACTATTTTTTTGCAGTTCCAGCTTTCTGGTTGTTTGTAGTCTATCACACCCCCAGTGAATTTGCCTTATTCTTGTGTCGTTCTTGAACATCAACTTTGCTGATTCCAACGTCATACACTGCTCCAGAATTCCTCTGAGTGTTTTTTTCTTTGAGATTGCGAGGTCATTTTTTATATCTGGGCCTCATAGGGCTTGGACTAATGCTTTTATTGCTGTTCTGTCTCTGAAATCCGAGGTACCTGTTGGGTGCAGGCTTATCCTCTCTATGTCTTGTGCTAGTTGTTGAGCAGTTTCCTCCGGTTTCTGCATATGGTGGTTGAGCTGTGTCAAAAAGGTTTTTTTTTGTTCTCATAACGTCAGTTAGTATCTCGAAGTTGTCACGATGTTAGGCAAGGATTAATTGTGGAACTTTCAATGCAGAGGAATAACCGTGAACGGTGCTTTTTCTTTTGTTTCTATTTGTATTTTTCACTGGTACTTCCGCTCTAGCTCGTCGACTTATTCGTTTAATTCGTCCATTTTTTGGTCTATTTTCTGGATCAATTGCTGGTCGTTCTTTAACTACGCTTTGATATTTTTTTGTTCATTCTGTAAATCAAACTCTGTCAGGCGCGGAAAAAGTAACAGCATGCAAGGAATTGGAACGATGAATATAAAATTATGAATGTAGAACGTATAAGACGCATTTAGTGGGGGTAAAATAAAATAATAGGGGGAAAAAATTGGTAAAGACATGTAGAAAAAATGAACAGTAAAATAAGTATAAATGGTAATGTACGTGGTAATATAAATTGTAATACTACGGTAATGATAAATTGGATGTATCTTTTTTAAATTAGATGTATCGAGTTTCTCTAGTACAATCATTCTTTATTACAGAATTTTTTGATCTATCAAAAATTCGCTTTTGACATTAGTGTAATAAGTTGCACTATCGTTAAGGGTCAGTCTCCACCAACTTGAACCATGGTTCACGCCCGACCATCTCCGATTTTTTTTAAATTTGGATAGAAAGTATCTCAATATTTATCTGTTCGGAAACTGATAATTAATAAATAAATTTAGTGTATATTTCAATTATTCTTCATGTTATGAAAATTTTTGTGAAACACCCAATTTTTGAGTGATTTTTTCAAAACATGTAGAACGCCATATCTCTCAAACTAGACAATATACCTATACAAAGTTTTTTGTGCACATTAATGAAACAATGTAATAAAAAAAATTAAAATATATTTTCCAGAATCAACAGATTTTTTTTTGTAAATTTTTACGTTTTTGGCGAGTTATAACCCCAAATTTATCGTAAAATTAGTATTTGTTTTATTATATAGTTGAAGAACTTGTCTTAATTTAGAAACAAATTATCGTTAAAATTTGTTTTCAATTTTTTGAGCCATTGATCTTCAATAAGTCAAAAAATTATAAAACTAAATTGGTTTGGAGCCTTTTTTGACCATGAAAACACTTTTCTTTTAATTGTTTTCTATAGTACTTTTATAGCTTAACAACATATCCAAAAACAAAAATGGGCTCATATCATTATAGTGTTGTCAAAACCTAAACTTTAATTAAAATTATATCCGGATAAATGGGAAGACAAATGTTTCATGAAATGTTATTTATTTTGGTCTAAAATAAATTAATGGTGACATGTGCAACAATTTATTTTATCTACTATTTTAGATTTTTTTTAAGCATTTCCAATTGCTTTTTTGTCTCTACTCAAGAAACTTCAATACCTTTTAATTTCGCATCAACATATTTATAAAAATCTATTCAACTTTTCATTATTCGTCTATGCCAGCTCTTGTAACCAATTTTTTCCTTTTCCAATCCATTGTAAGGACTTTTTCTGTTGCTAAAAATTGTGTGGCAATTTAGTTTATGATATATTTAATCTGAAAAACTTAGGCATTGCCTATTCTCCCCATAAAAAAAACATTCCTTTGAAACAACATTTCTCATGTTTTGTAGTGGTTGAAGACGCCTGGTTCGTTGACTTGGAACTTATTCAACATTGCTGCATAAATGATCCTCGTATCATTATTAATTTATTGGTATACTTTGAGCATAATATTAATTTTAATCTGATTTAATAGATATTCCGAGTACTATAACTCTTGGCCAAATGATCCAGGAAGCATCAGCTCAAGGTGTTGTCACGGACAGTGTTGCTAAAAAACTTATTAAATATCATGGTAGTTAGTTTTGTTAAATATAAGTTTTATAATTGTTTTATAATAATCTTACTTTATCTAAATGCATTTTTCTTATTATTTAAATACTGGTAGATTGTCACTTGACTCCATTTGCCAGCAGCACGGTAAATGACAATGGACAAGCAATATCGTGCATCTATTTTAATTCGCTTCCATTGTTTAATTACCTCACACAGTACCTCCCGTTACCAAATATTGTACTCGTTCCAAAGTATGTTTTTTTTCAAATTTGCATTTTTAATCGTGGTATATACAAAGTGATCTGACATGAAGCATGCGGGTGTAAAGAACATAATTCCATATTCACTTTTGGCCAGAGAGTCAATGATGTAATTTAAAATCATTTCACATTATGAAATGATCTTTGGAAAAATATATCTGTTTGTAAACACGATAGTGGTGAACACGTAAACAACTGTGATTAAATGTATTCTGAAGAAACAGTTGACAACTTGAGACAATTGGCTGTGTGTTGCTATTAATTTCTAAGTTTGTTGTTGCTTTTAATTTCCCATGCTAGCTAAAAGCGCCTTTTACACATATAACGGAAACTTTCTTTTGCTTCATTTTGCTCATCTTTGTTAAATTTGTACAATAAAAAATACTTTATTTCAAATATTATGAAATTATATTATTAATATAAAACTTGGATAAGTAATGTAAAAATGTCAGTGTATGACAGAATCATTCCACATTATATTCACAATCTTTGTAGTTTTTTTAAATTAGTTGTTTTTAATTTTTCTTGTTTTTTTTTTACTCAATCTCTTCAATCTAAATTTATTTTTTCACCTGTGACAGGTTTAATCCTTCTAAATCAGGTCAGTTGTCAACATGTTTTGTCAACATCATTGTTCATGTCAAAAATTTATCTGTCCGGAAACTGATATTTTATAAATAAATTTAGTGTATATTCATGATTGTTGATAGGTGACGTAGCGAAGAGTCCAACTGCTTCTAGGAATCTTATAAATGACGATGAAGTAACATTGGGCAATCATAAAAATAGTTCAGGTAAAGATGAAAAGTGTCAAGTGGCACAAACGATTGAGAACTCGCAAGAGCAGTTTTATGATGACTTTAGTGACCAATTTTTCATGGGTTTATGTCCGAAAACAGGTTTTTCTTATCGATTTTTCTGTATAAAACTTTCCAAAATTTTGTAAGATTTGAAAGTTGGTTTAGATGTCATTCCTTGTTTTAGACAACGGTTACTTTTTTATAAATATACCTAACATTTAATAAAATCAGGTAAGAACATCATGAAGATGCAGGTAGACATGGAAGGCTTTCTCCCAAATGAACTTTCGGTCAAGGTAGTCGGCAGCACTTTAACAATCAGTGGTTGTAAAGAAGATGAAATACAGAAAATCGAATTCATGAGAAATGTAGTTTTACCATCATACGTGGATTCTGACCAAGCTGGATGTTATTATTTCAAAGGTTGCATGGCCATCCATGCCCCTATCTCTAATTTAGAAGCCGCCAACCAAGCTCAACAGAATCAAGTAAAATTAAGTTCTAAAAAACAATCTTTCATCACAATCACACAAAAAAAGTCTACGCAAAACTACAATGAAAATTTGTCAAATCAGTTGACTGATTCGTCATTTGAAAACGCAGACAATTCTTCTGGTTCTGTCACCTCAAAAAAAACAAATGGTAACAACCATAAATCAGTAGTTTCATCAAAGAACACAGTACATACGAACATTCCGTTTAATGTTGCCGTTTTAGTAAATGTGGAAGGTCATGAATACATCAGTCTCGTGGTGGAAGTGAGCAAACTGTTTAAACCCAATGAAATTGTTGTAAAGGTTTGCATTTTTCATTGATTGATTTTTTTTCACCAGTAAAAATACTTTAACACCATTAATAATAATAACAACTTGAGAGTTTTATACCGATAGAAATTTGTTATTTTGGGTTAACGAAACTAAAAAAAATACTTACATTTTTCAATTAGTTTATATTTTTCAAATAGTTGACATTTTTCAAGTAGTCGTACTTCTACTTGGAGTCTTAATAATTGTGTCGCATTATCAATCTACTGTTCATTCATTTTTTTAAGGTACGAGAAAACAAAGTTGTTAGTGTCACTGGGGAAACGAGAAGCACCGATGAATCAAAAAAGAGCAGGCTGTATGCGTTTATTGAAAGAGAATTTGATTTACCGAAGAAAATTGATCGTAAAACATTAAAGGCAGGTTGCACTGGTGATGGCTTGCTTAAAATCTTTGCCAGAGTTGCCACTTAATATTACAGTCAATATTTCAATATGAACTGAACTTAATACATTTTCGACTGTTTTTTTTGTTTTACTGTTACGTGTGTTCTTCGATACGTCGCTAACAAAGTTCTTGCTAAATCGTTCATTGGTGCAAAGTTCAAAAAAATTATCATGAATTTCACACCAAAATATCTTACATTCTTAGGACGGAAAAGTTAATTTGGTTTACGTACGTCTTAAATAAACTTGTATTCTATCAATTTATATAGTCTACAGGAAATTTTAAAGATGCAGTAATCTATATGGCTCCGTATGTCTATGTAATCAGCGGATATGTGCAGGGTGTGTGCAGTGCCGGCTCGAGGTATTTTGCCGCCCGAGGCAAGACCCCAGTTTGCCGTCCTAGCTAAAAAGCACCAATATATTAAAAAAATACCTTAAAGTAAGATTAAGAGGAACTTACAAAATCGTATATTTGCAAAACATTAAATCCTGACAAGGAACAAACTTCCGATATAGAAAATAATAATGATCAGACATAATGTGAGCAGATACAATATTTGTCAAAATATTAATAAGAGGTGTTTGAGAGCGAACTCTGGTGAGTAAGTTAATGAGTAGAGTGAAGTGATATGAAAAAAATTGTTTTTATTGCCATAATCTAAATTTACATTAAAATCGCCAATTATGTTTGTTTGCAGTTTGGAATTAATAAGCTCAAAATTATTTTAAAATTTTAAGAAATCTGAATTTGGTGGTCGATATAAGACTACATTTCTGACAGGTTTAGATTTAATGTCAGGTAAGTTAGAATTAATATTTAAATTAATTAGAGTAATCGATATTGATACAATAAATGCATAGATTATTTATATCATCATTAATTAATTTGTAATTAAGAGAATTGTTAGTAAATGAAAAAAACACCTCCGCCCCTTTTGGAATCCCTTACATGACCCTCAAAACGATAATAAACTTATAATATCTTTAAAAACATTCAAATTTTTTAATTCATTAAGATAATTAAAGATGAAACATAAAAATTCTTCCACGTGCAATGATCTTGTCACCTTTGCAAAACCAAATGGCGTGACTTATTACCAATTTCGTAAACTTAAAGATTTTTACAATAAGGTTGAGAAAAAATTTTCGATACTCCAAAACACATATAATAAATAAAAACAAACCCACATATACCCAGTGGATCATCCCGTAGATGGACAGTTTTGAAAAATATTCTTTGAAAAACAATCTTTCCAAAACTTTCGAGTGCAACAAGATGGGAAAGAGGATTGAAGCTGTGCGACCTTTTAGATATTGTGCTGGAGAAATCTTTGATGCTCTTTTTGAAATCAGCCAGGACATTTCTTATGATTTCTTATAAAAGAACAACTGGAAAAGGTCATAGAGCAACATTTGCATGAAGAACAAGCAGGCTTCAGAAAGGACAGAAGTACGATCCAACAAATTCTGATGTTGGGACTGCTGATAGAAGATGCAAAAAGTTGCGGTCAGAAAATCAACCCTTGCTTTGTTCATTTTAAGAAAAGGTTTGATTCTGTCTGTCATGAAGGTTTGTGGGCAACATTTGAAAGTATGGGGACATCAGAAAATCTGGTCAAAGTACTGAAAGGGCTTTATGAAGAATCAAAAATGTCGGTAATAATAAGTACAGAACTCGTGGATTGGATAAAGGCAGAAATTGGAAGCAGACAGGGCGATCCAATATTACCAATACTATTCATAACATTGTTAGAAAGAGCAATGGAAAATTCGGAATTGGCTGGAATTGACATAAGAAGGAGAACTGTTAAAGATCTCAGGTTCGCAGACGATATAGACGTTCTAGCTTCCAGTGAAGAAGGTTTACAGAAGCTAATTGAACTAACACATGTTGGTGGAAAAGATCACGGACAAAACGAAGGTGATGATTACGGGGAAAGACAGAAACATTGCGGAATTTCAGATAGAATCAGAAAAACTCGAACAAGTAAACCAGTTTGTGTACCTTGGCAGTCATATAACCTGTGACAACAACTGAACAAAAGAAATTGACAGAAGGATGGCAATAACCCATGGAATGTTCGCAGCATTGAAAGAAATATGGAAAAGTGGAAATATATCTATAAAAACAAAGTTGAAAATGATAGAATTTTACGTTTTTTTGAGCTTGCTCTATGCACGTGAGACATGAACAATAAAGAAAAGAGACAAAGACAGATTGGAAGCATTTCAGATGAAGTGTTACCGAAATTTGTTGGAAATCAGTTGGAGGCAGAAAGTAAAGGACGAAACCATCAGAAATCAACTTGGAAGACAGAAAAGTGTATATGACAAAGTCAGAGAAAGAAAATTAGGATTTTTTGGACACATTTGTAGAATGAGGGAAAACAGATTGATTAAGATGGTACTAATGAGGAAAAGAGATTGGAAGAAAAAAGTTGGTAGACTTGCAGAGAAATGGATAAATAACCTTACTGAATGGACTGGTGTTGGTATTCTGAATTCAATAAAACTGGCCAAAGATAAAAAAAGGTTTTTGGAAAGAAAAAAACATGTAAAAAGCATGCTTAGATGTACACCATCGGCCTTAACTGTCCCCTGATGGGCAAAGGAGGATCATTGATTTTTTATGATCCATCTTCACGTCATGAAGCAGAGGTATTAACTTATAAAATCCAAAACTTTAAATTTTGCTGTTGTATTGTGATATGGTTCAATATTTTGAACCAAGTAAACTTAGCAAGCAAAGTCATTCAGAATAATGAAATTGACATTTCTGAAGCCAAACAAATTGTGAACAAAACTGTTAACTTCTTAAAGTGATGTATCGCTCAGATGAAGCTTTTGAAAAAGTTATTTCTGATGCAGAATTAATCGCAGCTGAATTAGATTTGGAGACATCATTTGAAGTTTCTATTAGACCTAGGTTTAAAAAAACAAATGTTATCTTATGAAGCTCGAGATGATCCCATTACAAATCCAAAAGATAGATTTAAAATAGAATGTTTTAATTGCATTTTGGATAGTGCCATAAATTTGTTTGAAGAAAGATTTAACCTGTGAACAAATTGATTGATGCCTTTCAATTCCTGCACGATATTGCAAATATTAAAAAAGAATGTTTAAAGGAAAGTCTTAGAGAAAAATATTTAAATTTAAACAAAATATTAAGTACAGATACTACGACAGATATTGATGTCATGGAATTATTAGATGAATTACCTGCATTATCAGAATTGATTGAACCAAAAGCATCACAATTAAAAGTACTAGAGTTTATTTTAAGAAACAATTATTTCACTCCAAATGTTTCAATTGCTTTACGAATTCTGTGAACACAGCCGGTACCAGTTGCAACTGGAGAGCGTAGTTTTTAAAAACTGAAATTGATTAAAGATTAAACAGGTCTTTCTTTAACTTCCATAGAAAGTGATAATACTAAAAAATTATATTTTACTGAATTACTGGTTTTGCATCTGAAAAGAATAGGAAAGCAAATTTCTTTCACTAAGTCATGTTAAAATATGCCCATTTTGCTTGTTTTTGTGTTTGTGTCGGACAGATCAGTGCAGAGAGTGGATCACTAAAAGCAAAGGTGAACAAATGAAATCTCTGTATCGTATAGCAAAACAAGCAAAGTGCACGAAAAAAGACAGTTGATGCCTCATGCATCAAAAACGACAAAATGGTTCTTGAAGAAGATGAGATCAAGCTACAGTGGAGAGAATACTTCAACCGTTTGTTAAATGAAACAAATCCCATCAATGTTCCACCCATCGAAGGTCCGATTCCAGACATCACTGTAGAGGAGCTTACAGAATACAAAAGCCCTGAAAGCTATGAAGGATGGAAAGGCAGCAGGGCCCTTTGGACTCACAAATGACATTATCAAAGCATCTGATACTGAAGGTATCCAAACGTTACTAAAACTTTGCCGAGAAGTGCGGAGAAATTGCTCAATGGAACTATAGTTCCATTCAGTCGGCATGAGAGTTTCGCTATACAAAGGCAAAAGTGATCCATTGAACTGTTCATCATATCGTGGTATACGTCTGTGAGAACACACCCTGAAAATTGTCGAGAAAATCATTGAGAGAAGATTAACGTCGTGCATCACAATCGGGAATTATCAATTTGGTTTCCTAGCTGGTAAATCAACAATTGATGCAATTCACATCCTTCGGCAACTGCAAGAGAAGTACCTCGCAAAGCATCAACAACTATCACACATTTTTATAGACCTTGAAAAAGCAATTGATCAAGCTCCCCGTGAAGCAATCAGGTGGAGTCTACGTCGACAACTCATTCCAGCACAACGGTTGGAAACACAGATGCATTTGACATCGGCGTTGGAGTGCACCAAGGCTCGATTCTCAGTCCACTGTTATTTATAACTGTGATGGAAGAAATCACAAAACCGATACGCAAAGGTGACATTTGAAATCTAATATATGCTGATGATATCGTTTTAACAGCCACGTCTGAGCAGAATGCAACACAGATGTTTGCAGATTGGAACACCAGACTCGCCGATCATGGATTCAAAGTCAACATCAGCAAAACCAAAGCAATGAACACTGGTGAACCCATCCAATCCAGAGTTACTGGACAATAGCCCTGTTCAGTTTGTAAAGCTGGTGCAATTCAATCAAGTGTCAGCAGTGTAACCAGTAGAGTCACAAACGTTGTTCAAAAATAATTGGTACTTTATCTAAAGTGTCTAATTTTGTTTGTCCTGCTTTCATCAACCCACAACAACAGTTTCAAAAAAGCAATGTTTTTGAAGCCATTAAGGTTAGATAAAGTCACATCGTTTCAATATCTAGGGGATGTTCTAGATTGTACTGGAACAGCTGAAGCTGCCGTTCGATCACGCATACGTGCAGCCTGAAATAAATGGCATCTCCTTGCCTCTATATTGATGCGGCGTGACATCCGACTACCACTACGATCAAGACTTTATAAATCTGTGATACGTCCGGTCTTGTTATATCGGGCAGAAACATGGCCAATGACAACCAAACTGGAACAACTTCAACGAACCGACATGAAAATGCTTCGATGGATGCAACGAATTAGTCTGAAGGACCACATCAAATCTACCGAAATCTTGCATCGTGCTGGTTTAGATGATATAAAGGACGAAAGCCGGCAACACTGTCTGCGGTGGTTTGGTCATGTCAAACGAAGTGGAAACAGTGCCATAACTTCTCTTGCAGATGTTGAAGTACCTGGCACACGCCCCAAAGGCCGCCTAAAGAAGTTCTGGTCGCAAACAATCGAGCAAGATATGAAATGGATACAACTGATTTTCTAATTTGGCGCAAAAAGTTGATGGCAAAGAAAACAACGTCCTACCTCGGGGAATCGGGTTCCTGGACGCAAAACGAAGATTGATTAGTATATACACTAGATTATCAACATATATATATATATATATATATATATATATATATACATGGTCACAAATGCAAATTCATGGTTTTCAAATTTAGTTATATTAGTAAAAGTAAGCAGTGGCCAGTGGCGGAGCTAGACAAATTTGAAGGAGGGATTAAAATTTTGAGATTTATTGTTGCCGTGTAGCCAAAATTTCGCTGGTGGCCTTTTTTCTACCTGTGCTTAAAGTGAGTAGATCTGTATTTCACTTAACGCAGGCAGGCAGTATGTATACATAATAGTTGATGGAAGTATACGAAAACACGAGTGA